GGCAGCAGCTGGTCTGGCAGCAGCTGGGCTGGCAGCAGCTGTCCTGGCAGCAGTTGGGCTGGCAGCAGCTGGAGCCACAGTTCCCACTGGTGGAGCAGGTGGGAAATCCACAGAAGCTAGTGGAGCAGCAGGCCATGGTGTCAGGAGCTGGGCTGAGAGTTGGGTTGCTAAGAGAAGTTTTTTGTGTTTTGCTGGTCACTTCCACGTTGGGCCTTTTATAGGCCTTGGCCAGTTCCTGTTTTGTGATGGACAGCATTTTTATCCTGTTACTCCTTAAACAAGCTTTTCCAGAGCCCTTTGATTGTTCAAATACTGTTATTTTAACTACATCCCCAAATTAGTTTTTCCTTTATTGCTAAGCTAATACTCACTAAACGTGTCCATCCTTGGTAGAAATGTTGTTGTTTCATTTCCATGCAATGCTGTAATTTTTCCTCAAGTCTCAGCTTCCATTCTGCATTTATGGTCACATCACCTGACCAAGTGACTCTCACTGATAAGATGACACAATTTGGGGGTCATATTTACCAAAATTCAAGTCTCCAGAAAAAAATGTTAACAATTGACTGCTATTTATGTAAGACTATTTTCCATTATATATGATTAATAAGATTATAGTCTCTATAATCAGGCAGATAGAAACTCTGATAAACTTCACATTCATAGAAATGCATTTAGTTTCCAGAAAATGGTCTCCAATTTCAGTGATCTCTCCTGAACTCCACACATTCATACTTGAGAAAACACCACTCAGGAGGATACATAGAACAAAAACTGTTCCATTGCAACTTACTGTGGATATTTTATTAGCCTGAATTTAAAAGAAGGGCTAAAATTGATAACCAGCAATTAGGAAAATATCTCACAAAATTTTAAGTGTAATTTATATTTTTCTATGAAAGATAAAAATCACTGGTTTGTGGATTATCTAGACTGTATTTCTCAAAGGTGGGAATTGTTTTCAGTTTATGTCATTTTATGTAACTACACCCTGTGTCCTATGAAAGGATGTTAGACCAAAGAGCATGACAATCCAATTTATGAAGGGGAATCACTAAGAAAAAGTAGAAGTTAAGAAATGCTTCTTCTGGATCACAGTGTTTATAAGGCAAGGTAGGAAATGGATGGTCAAATATCATCCAATAGGTATAAGTGAAAAGAGATTAAGTGTACTTTTGCACTTAAGGTATAAATGTAAATGGGTTGATGTTGTGGTATGGACCACTTTTAATTTCCCCTCAGCATGAGTTGATGTTAGAATACTGTTGAGTCTAGGAATGGCTATATTTTGGAGAAGTTAGTGACTTGCTCCATTTGCACAGTACACAGCCAGAGAACTGGGTATAAATTTCAGCAAAACAAATTTGAAATAATTTTGGTGGTTGCCAAAATAAAGAATATCATTTTCCATTTGCTGTTTAGGGTTATATTGGGGGAATGAAAAAAAAAGTGGTGGCCAAAGAGCCTATTATTGTTATTTGTGGTAGGTTTGTCCCTTCCTTCCAATCTTGAATAAAAACATCACATCTTGAATAAAAACTAGCACTCACATAGTTAGCTTTTTATGAGATGGAGGTATTGGTTTGTACAGCGAGAGAATTACATTAGAATGTGATTCATGCCAGTGTCAAGAAAGATGTTCATGTCATGTGATAACCATGACTGTAGGTATGAAGTTGAAAAATGGTTGAAGGAATCCTCAAATGTCAGAGATCAAAAACTTAGTAAATCATCTGTCCAAACATTTAATTGTATAGGTACTGACATCATTGTTTTTATAAATAGCAAATGTTTATTAAGTCATCATATTTTACCCAGAGCACTAAAGGGTTGTGCAGAAAGCCAGATTCAGTCTGTCTGCTTCATATCTTGCTCCAGTTTATGAATCATTATAATACTGATGGGGGGCTGAATCAAGGAAAAGAGTCAAATATATTACCATCCATCCTCATAGTTTTAAATTGGAACACTGATGTTGTAATACAGACTGCTTTTTTGAAAGTGTTTATTTATTCTGAGAGAGAAAGAGAGGGAGAGGCCTATGAGCACAAGCAGGTGAGGGGCAGAGGGAAAGAGAAAGAGAATCCCCAGCAGGCTCTGCATTGTGAGTGCAGAGCCCAATGAGGGGTTTGATCTCATGAACTGTGAGATCATGACCTGAGCTGAAATCGAGAGTGGGACGCTTAACCAACTGAGCCACCCAGGTGCCCCCAGACTGGTTTTTATTTCCTTTCAGCATTTGCTGATGTTAGAATACTACTGAGTCTAGGAGTGGCTGCCTTTTGGAAATTTTAATGACTTGCTTTAGTCAGACAGTACACAGCCAGCAGAGCAGGGTATAAAACTCCTGTCTCTCCTTCCTACATCAGTTATAGCTGTTTTACTTTATTTTATACAATGCTATTTTCCAGGAGCAATTAATTCTTAAAACTCTTTGTCTCAGGGTGCCTGGATGGCTCAATTGGTTAAGTTTTTGACTCTTGATTTCAGGTTGGGTCATGATCTCAGGGTCGTGGAATTGAGCCCCACATTGAGCTCTGTGCTGACAGCATGGATCCTACTTGGGATTCTCTCTGTCCCTCTTTCTATCTCTGCCCCTTACCTGTGCTCTTTCTCTCTCAAAATAAGTAAATAAACATTAAAAAAAAACCCCTCTTTGTCTCCTTTTTCAAAAAATGTTCTATAATAGTCCAAGAATAGAAATAGTAGCTACAGGCAGAAATGCTATGGAGTAGTAACTTTAAACACACAGTAAATAAGTATAAATATGTTAAGATTCTTTTAAGTGTCTTCTGATCAGAGGAGTTTTCCCTAGAGCTGCAATAACACATTTGATTCTTAATTGTTTTTTGTTTCCCACATTCATATTAGGTAATATGCCTTCTGGGTTTCTATGTCTGACATACTCTTTATGTCTTCTTTATTCCATGGCTATCATCCTAGTTCAGCTCGTACTGTGTATCGCTTGGACCAGTTCAGTGGCCTCTTGACTTGTTTCTGTATAGCCATTATATTGTCTAGCCTTTGGCCTTCCTTTTTGATAAACAATTACCATAGGAATCATCCTGATGCCCAATGCCTGTCATGCCATTCAGTTGCCCCAAGGGTTTCAACAACTCCTTAGTATTTACTGCATTAAGGGCATACTACTTTGGTTACTATTCAAAGCACACACACTTCCCAAATTTATCTTCCGCTGTTATTCTACATGTATCCTGTGTTCCCAGCCAAAGTATCCTCTGAACAAGCCCTCTTTCTATACCTTAGTGCATACTGTTACCAGTGAAAATGACATCTTCCTTTAGATCTGCATGCTGAAATCTTAACTTCTGTAAAATGCTAGCTTCCTTTTTGGTCTTTCTTGTTCTCCCCAGTCAGTAGTGATATTTTGACACACCGAAGTATGTTGTACTTTTTTTTTCATTTTCTAATTTTTAGGTGCATTATCGTGAATTTCATTTATCTCCCTAGAAGTTTCTTGAAGAGGGGAATATTTTTAACTCACTTTAATTTCTATTGTATACCATACAGTCTGTGACTTGCAGATGGTAGGCAGTACATTTCGTTATATTTAAAATTAGTGAAAAACGTTAGAATAAATAAGAAAAACCAAATATGGGTTTGCTAGGCCAAAGAAGAGAAGTTTATTAGAAAACAAACATGCCACAAGACCTAAGATCTAAGGTGGGAAGAAGGGAGTTGATACTGTTACAAAGACTTGAGAACACCCCAAGTCTTAACAGGTAAGCCTGGATCTCCATTCAAACCCTGGTTGACTTGGGGTCTTGATGGTTTAGGGGAGGAGGTTTCTTAGGTAGAGAAAGGAGTATGACTCTTTCAGAAGGTTGATTGCTTGTTCTAGACCGTGCACTTAGTAGCAGCAGGAGGTCCTGCAGGTGGTGCGGCAGGGGGCAGGCTGGCAGCAGGGGGGGCGGCAGCAGGGCGCCTGCACAGAGATGGGCTGGCAGCAGGTGGAGGCCCAGCAGCAGGGGCGGCAGACCACGGCCGTGCAGGACGTGGGGCAGCAGCTGATGGGGCGGCAGCAGCCCTCCTGCAGGGAGCAGGGGTCACAGCAGACGGGGCGGCGGCAGGGCTCGCAGATGGGGCGCGTGCAGCGGCAGGTGCAGGTCACGGGGCGGCACACGGTGGTCTGGCAGCTGACGGGGCGGCAGCAGCAGGGGTCGCGGCAGCAGCAGGGCTGGCAGCAGCCTCCCCCGCAGCCCAGGGAGGAGCAGGTGGAGCCGCAGCAGGAGCCGGACATGGTGGTGTCTGGGGCTGGTTTGGGTCGGAGGGGTGAGAGGATTCGGGTGTTGTCAGGTGTGAATGCCTCCCTCCTGCTCTGGGGCCTTTATATACCCTGAGCGGGTCCTGATGACCCCCACCCCCATTTATCTTTTGGCCAATTGAGTACAGTTTTGTTTTGACTAATGATTGCATTGCTTGTGACATACTCATGATCTCATTAAAGAACTCTGTTGCATTCCTAAATATGGATATATTCATGCTGTTCATCATCAAAATCTAAGCACTCAGTCATTTGAGGTGATAGCAACTCTTGATGCTTATTTTGGGTAGATAGCACCTGATGAATCCTGGGCAAAATGGTCCTAAAGGAACCGCAAGTTTTAAAAGAAATGAAAGAAATTAAACATACAGCGGTTTCTAGAGAACTGAGTGGATCCTGTCCTTGACCCCTAGGAGATGCCCTGAGAAACCTACATGTTAATCAGACGGGTGTTAGACATGTCTTCACATGTGGACTCCTTGGGACTTTATTTTTTTTTTTTCAACGTTTATTTATTTTTGGGACAGAGAGAGACCGAGCATGAACGGGGGAGGAGCAGAGAGAGAGGGAGACACAGAATCGGAAACAGGCTCCAGGCTCTGAGCCATCAGCCCAGAGCCTGATGCGGGGCTCGAACTCACGGACCGCGAGATCGTGACCTGGCTGAAGTCGGATGCTTAACCGACTGCGCCACCCAGGCGCCCCTCCTTGGGACTTTATTTACATATCACTTGATACAATGGAATGCATGTACTTTGAATAAGACTGTAGCTCTGATATTTGTATGGGAAAGATAAAAGGTTATTTTTGTAAACCAAGTAAGTATTGGAATAAAACACCCAAGGCTGCCT